AAACCCACCCCGAGCACAAATATTCCGTTACTTTCGTACCGAAAGTCGGAACAATAATTGCAATTAATTGACAATTGACAAACATGGAGAAATCAATTCAATTAATTGACACAAGTATTGACACATTAGCTCCCAATTATTTTGCCAAAACCCTATAAAACCCTCAGAAAAAAAAGCCTAACAGAATTGAAAGCTATTACCTTGGATCAGTGGGAATATAGGCGGGGTATTTGACGCTTCACCCCCCTCAGGGTTTCATTCCCCTGCCGATCCAAAAGGTCCCTCTTTTCTTCTATTCTGAGATATCAATTTTTGGTGATAACTTCTACAGGCGCAAAAATATCCTAATTTGAGGGGGGGGGGGGGTGCGCGTCAAAAAAACGCAATTTAAATCAAAATTTTTGAAAAAATACCTAAAACCGCCTATTTTACCCTATTTTGTTTTCGAAATTTTGCCTGCGGCGCATAAAATTTGGCCAACACAGGATCTTCTTGGTGCTCCCGGAGAGCTGGGAAAATCAATTTGGTCGGCCTGAAACAAAAGGTCAACAAAATTTTGAAAACTTTTGAAAATCCGTCCCTTTCCTTCGAGAAAACCCTAGATCCGCATTGCCTCTGAAACTGAAACTGCAATTTATCTATTTGAAAAATTTTGAGTTCCAAGTTGATTTTATCAGTTTTCTTTTTTATCATCAACGAAAGCGTAAATACCACTATTAATTTTTTTCTCTTTTTTCTAGTTTGAAATTTGAATTCAAAATTTGAAAATTTGAAAACCTAAAGCAACCATATGAACAGTAATTTATTTCTACTGAGAATAAAGCACTACTGAGAACAAACTTAAATATAAGATTCTCATTGTTAATGACGACCCTAAGGTAAAAAATTCGACAGGACATTAAGGCGACAGGGCATTACGAAGACTTCATATATTTGCAGTCTTCTGATTGGATATATTTTTCTACTAAACTAAGCAATTAAATTTTTTTTTTAAAGCGGTGAAAGTAATTGCCTGTTTCTCTTTGGACTCAAACAATAGCGGCGAAAGTAGATACTATTTTCTTTTTAATCTCAATTAATTGTATTCTTAAAGCCACGGTGGAATTAATTGTCGTATTAATAGCTGTCGTCTCGTTTGTCGGCCCCCGTTATGGACATTGGTCGTGGTTATTAAAGTCAAAATAGCTGGCGACATGCCTTTTGTCCGAGTGCATCTGGTCTAGAATGGAAAGTGTCCATCTTTTGCTTTCTTGTGAAATCTGTTTCCTTCTGGAAATCAGACGGTAAGACCAGGTTGCAAAGAAGAAATTCCGATGACACGAAAACTCAAGAGCTACTGAAGGGTCGTCTGCCCTGAAACAAAATAGAAAAAAAATGAATTTAATCAAAATGTTTCTGATCACTTCGTTGAAATTTGGAGGACGTTTTAGAGCTAAAATGAATAAATTTGAGTCTAAAAGACTCGCAGGGGGCTGAGTGGCAGGGGGATTGAAGTTCACTCGTGTCGAAACCGAAGCAAATTTGATTTATTCTTAACAAATTGGAGAGTAAAAATGATATTGTAACCACCCAGTTGATGCCGTTCAAATATTAACCATCAATATCCAGCCTATATTGCTATGATTGTCAAATAAAATCTTATCCTTATCGATGGATTTGGTTGTCTTATCCTTATTGATGGATTTGCTTGTCAAACACTCCTATTTCTATGATTTGCTCCAGTTTGTGCATCACAGTTTAACCCCCTATGCTTACACCCCAACTTTTTAACCCGTAACAAGATAACCCCACAACAATTTAACACCCGTTTAATACCAATAATTTGTTTCAAAATAAATCCTTTTACAAGTATAGTAGTATTTCAATGACAAGTACTAATTGAGGCCTGGGAAGCCATTCTTAATTCATTTGATGCTTCTAGCATCTCAAAATTGCATTTCCAGTAGCCAAAGAAACAAGACTGCTCGTATCAGGGCGAAGCCCTGAATGTTCCGACCGCCTTTTAAGGTTTATAGAGCAGTAATGACATGAAAAATTTAAATGTAATAAAACAAAATTATTTTTTTTTTAAATTGCGATTTTTTGTTGACGCCATATTTAAATTGAGACGCCATTTTGAGACGCCATATTAAGACGCCATATTTAAAGTGAGACGCCATTTAAGTTGAGACACCATATTAAGTACAAAGTGATAAGTTTTGCTCCTATTAACAAATCATTTATGGCAAATAAGCTTCCTTCAGCCAATTTGGAACGATTTCTAAGACGGATTAAAAATCCGCTTACGCATTCATAGGCGGGAAAAAATTGGGCGTTGAATGTCCTAAATTGGCCAAAATGGCAATCTTTAAACCCCCATAACCTTACAAAAAATAATCACAGGTCGAATATCTTTCAAATTTAGCTCAGGACAACAATAGTTTTCAAATGATATAGAAAAAATTGCGCCAAAAATGGCTAGTTAAAAAGTCGAAATTTTTCTGAAAAAAAACATCCGAGCACAAATATTCTGTACGAAAGTCGGAACAATAATTTCTCATTCACGCGTTTAAAATAGAGCTAATCTACTGCTAAATGAAATTAGGTGGTACTTGGTTAGATTGAAATTTGTAACAAAAATAATATCTTTTTGTTATGATCACTCATGTGGAAAAAAAAACCTAGGTATCATAGGAGCTCAATTTTTCCACATAATTTCTAGTACCTGAAGAAAACTCGATTGGTATCAATCGTGGTATCCTAATGAAGCCCTATTAGTCTGAGTTTTTCCGTTTTTCTGACTGAAAGAACAGCAAATTACATATGACAAGAGAAGAGTCCGCACTCTTTATTATTTGTACGGCTGTTTTAAGTATTATAGATCTCATTTTTGTAGTTTTTAATTTTGAATATTTATTTTTTTGATTTTGGAATTTGTAGTTTTAGTTTCTTTAATTCAAAAATTTGGAAGATTCTTTGCTAGTTGCTGCGCAACAAGACACCATCTTTGCTTCAACTTAGAATTTAGCTTTGTGGGCCACCTCAATAAAAGGAGGCAATGGGAATTTATCGTATAACTAAGAGCTTTTGAAAAACAATTGGAGATTAAGATGATGACTATGAACGTATCTGCCATCCACATACAGTTAAGGTTTGCATTGGTTCTTAATGATTGCCATCCCAAAGCTCTTTTTACGGTAATTGTAGCGTTATAAGACCATTTAGGAAATTTTTAGTTAATTTGGTCTTTTGGTCACGCTCAGGCAATACGGTCAAACAAACCCGGTTGAAGTGCCTTGCCATTAGAAAAAACTATCATCTGTTGTTTGAAACACATAGGGATGTATCAATCAGGGGTGCCGGACATCAAATCGACGGGGCTTCAAGGCAAGTCGTATAATTGGGGACTTCAAGCCAAAGATTTTCTCAAAAAGCAATGAAGCATGATTAATTTGGAGACTGTTTTGAAAAAATTCTCGATTTCATAATCTTATTTTAACAATTGTTGGCTTTTCATAAATTTTGACCCTTTAATTGACGTTTAGGAAAGTTAGAATTTATACATTGTTAAACGTTTCATATGATATCTACACTTAATGCATTTCCAGCTTGCTTCTTGCTTAAAAACTAACAGAAGAAACTTTCTTGCCAACAAAAGTCAGTCTTTTGCAAATAGCCTCAATTTTGGAGTATTTGTTCCGACTTTCGTAGCAAAAGTAACGGAGTATTTGTGCTCGGTGTGGGTTTTTTTTCTTTAGACAAATTTCGACTTTTTAACTAGCCATTTTTGACAGAATTTTTTTATCATTCAAAAGGTATTGTTGTCCTGAGCTTAAATTTGAAAAAATATTTTACCTGTGGTCATTTTTCCTAAAATTATGAGGGTTTAAAGATTGCCATTTCTGCCAATTTGGGGCAATTAACGCGCGATATACTTTGTGCTATTAACGCGTAAGAGGAGATTTAATCCATCTTAAAATTGTTTCAAATTGGTTTGAAGAAGCTTATTTGCCATAATTGATTTGCAAGAAAGTGCGAAAGTCATCCTTTTGTACTTTATATGGCGTGTTCAAATTTTAGAAGAAAAAATTCATTTTATTTTATTACATTCAATTTCTTATGTTATTACTGCTCCATAAACCTTAAAAGGCGGTCGGAATATTCAGGGCTTCGCCTTGAATGTTTATATGACGTGTGGGGCAATGATTTTCACAACAAATGGCGTGTGGGAGATGATTTTATATGGCTTGTCGGGAGATGACTTTCACAAAAAATCTCAAATTTTAGAAAAAAAAATATTTTTAATTTCTTAATATCAATTTTTTCGTATTATTACTACTCCATAAACCTTAAAAGCCCGTCAAAACATTAAGGGCTTCGCCCTGATACGAGCAGTTTTGTTATGCTTTGGTCTCGCTGAACGGGTACTTTTATTCTGTTGTTTTGAATAACAAACCCTTATTATGAATTCTATTGTAAGACTTTTACAAAGAAAAACATACAACAGATTGTGACGATGTTTAGTCAAATCCACAGTAAAAAATTCGCACAATTGGTATATATTTAAGCAAAACTGTATTTTCCTAAATATGAAGTCCAATTCTATGTAGATTTTTGAAATGCTGTTAAAAGTTTGGGAATGAAATAATCTTTTTTTTCTACTGATCCAAGTATTTCTCAATTGAAATCTTTCTTAAACGCAAGAGCCATTAGATGCGAAAATCTAAAGGAATCTCATTGAACTTAATGTGTACGGCAAGCAACTGTCACAATATCAATTTTGCTCAATGCAACAGTTTGACGAAGACATTTTACATACTTAGAAAATTAATATTTATCTATAAACCGCAGTCATGGTTCGACAAATGTAAATTGCATCAATGTTTCATGGATCAATCATAGACTGAACATCTTCAAAGTCACACACTGTACAGAAAGATTGCTGGATGCCCAAAAATTGTTAAATTTATGCGACATTTCTGAATTGCAAGAGGCAACTTCAACCAGGGAAGGGAGATTTTTTACACTGAACCGAACCTGTTGAAAATGAAATTCGTGTACGACTTCCTCCTTCTGTGGATTCGAGTGACCCTTTCTGCTGTGAACAAATTACCGCGAGCCCCTCCCCTTTCATTGGTCTGCTGTATTAATCTCCACTCCGCGTCTTTGATCCACCTCTCCCCTGCTAGGCAGTACCGCTCTTCCAAAATAGCACCAGAATTGGTCCCTGAAAACAGAATTTCAATAAGCAAACCAGCTCAATAGTTTTAATTTAACCCTAACCCTAGCCTGACACCGGCGCACCTGTTTTGTTTGCACACTTTAAAATTTAGTTTCCAAAACATAGATTAGGAGATACTTAAATTCTCTCTATTTCAAAATCGATTTATATTGATAGATCAACCAAAATTTTTCTAGATTATCGCTCAGTATTAGCTCATTTTATTCAATCCATTTTAAAAAAATACAACGGCAACTTTTTATCAATTCTTCTTTAAGTGAAACTCTTCGTTACTCAAAAAATTTGAAAAGCGTTAAATATCCAACATTTTGCGCAGAATGCTTTAAATTTGAAGCACTCAGTTTACCATTGTTGTAAAAGTAACGTAAGATCCCTGTCGTGTTTTTTGTATGCCAATCTAGTGCGTTATACCCTTAATAACTTTTGTGAAACTACACAAGAGGTTTACTTTGATACAATTTGAAATTGGAATTTTATAATTTTAAAAGTTGTTTTTGATTAACCAAAAAATTTGAAATTTACCCAAATTTGAATTTAAAGCTTGGGCCATTTTTGGCTAGATAATTTTTTTTTTGTAACATTTTATGCAAACTTTTTTCGCATTTTTCTTTGTTTATATCAAAATCCAATTTTCGAAAAATGCATTCAAATTTCCATAAGTGGTTTGTTTTGTCATTTTTTCTGCTCAATTGATCTGGATAAAAAAGTAGGCAAGTTTTTCCTGATTTCAGTGCGTATTCTGGTTTCTTCTTGAGCAAAACTACTTCTATAGGTGCGCTTTGAAAATTGGCGGATGATACAATTGATTTTGTAAAGTATTTTTTAAGAGCTGTTAATTGAATTTTGAGTACGAAAACATCCAATTGCGAAAAAAAACAAAAGTGCTCGTATCAGGATGAAGCCCTGAATGTTTTGACTGCCTTTTAACGTTTTTGTAGCAGTAATAAAATAGAGAAAAATAAATCTACATTTTTTTTCAATTTGAGATTTTTTTGTGAAAATCATCCTCCCACACGCCATATGAATACACAGTAATATATTTGGCTCCTATCAACAAATAAATAAAGACAAAAAGCTTCTTCAACTAATTTGTAACGATTTCTAAGACAGAATTAATAGCGCTAAGTCTATCGCGCGTTAATTGTTCCAAATTGGCCAAAGCGGCAATCTTAAAATCCCCATAACTTTACAAAAAATAATCACCAGTGAAGTCTTTTTTTTCAAAATTAAGCTCAAAACAACAATACAGTTTGAATCATATTTATAAAATTCCGTCAAAAAGGGCTAGTTAAAAAGTAGAAATTTGTCTGAAGAAAAGAAACCACCCCGAGCACAAATGTTTCGTTCTTTTATTTCTAAAGTCGGACCAACAAAAAAAAAACAGTATATTCGGAATGTTATGAGTTTAGAACTTTGGTAGTATAAAATCAAGGTAATAAAAATTTAATTGATTCAATACAACAAAACAACTCGAACCTTAATGCAAATCGGTTTTACTTTGAAAAAATTTTTTATTTAAACAAATAGTTCCCCAAAAACCATCCTCCCACACGCCATATGATTACACAGTAATGGATTTGGCTCCTATCAACAAATCAATAGTGACAAGAAGCTTCTTCAACTAGTTTGTAACGATTTCTAAGACAGAATTAATAGCGCTAAGTCTATCGCGCGTTAATTGTTCCAAATTGCCCAAAGCGGCAATCTTTAAATCCCCATAACTTTACAAAAAATAATCACCAGTGAAGTATTTTTTTCAAATTTAAGCTCAAAACAACAATACAGTTTGAATCATATTTATAAAATTCCGTCAAAAAGGGCTAGTTAAAAAGTAGAAATTTGTCTGAAGAAAAGAAACCACCCCGAGCACAAATGTTTCGTTCTTTTATTTCTAAAGTCGGACCAACAAAAAAAAACAGTATATTCGGAATGTTATGAGTTTAGAACTTTGGTAGTATAAAATCAAGGTAATAAAAATTTAATTGATTCAATACAACAAAACAACTCGGACTTTAATGCAAATCGGTTTTACTTTGAAAAAATTTTTTATCTAACCAAATAGTTCCCCAAAAACCATCAAAATGTTTGAAGAAAAGTTAATCAAAAAATTTTCTATGTTTACAAAGATTTGCTGCCATAAGAGCAAAAGAAAGTCATTTCCAAAAAGTTCTCAGTTGAAACAGGTAGCGAGTCTGAAAGAAAACCCCAGGAAGAGAAATCCAGTATTTGGTCAATGTTGGGGTACAATTTTTGAAATAGAACTGACGGCTTTCTGGAGAATTTCGACAGAAATAGTTGTAATAAAACGCATCACTCTGATTAGTTCGTTTCCTCAATTTTCTAAGAAATAGTTACTTAAATACGAAAATAAGCATCTAACATAAAAAATCGTTTAAAAAACAACAAATTTTACTCTGTACTGATTTTGCACATCAAAAAGGAGTTTTTTTTACTGTAAGTTACGAAGCAAAAAATCTTCCTGATAAAGTTATAGTCGCCATGAAAAAAACTACAGGAGAGATAAAAAAGTTTTTTTTTGATATCCTTCTGAATATTATTTTTCTGCTCATTTCGAATCTCAAAGTTCGTAGAAATAAAAAATATATTAATGAGTTAAGTATGTTGTCTATAACTCATAGAGTAATTTCGGATAGGGTACACCGTCTGCTCGTCACGCTATCTTATTTTCGGCCGGATAGATTCGTGCAACTTCTTAGTCTAATACCGATCCTAATCTTACTCTTATACTATCTAGTCTCAGGTTGTTTAACTAGTCTCTGCTAGGCTCAATAGATCTAGGGTATACTGGTTTATTGCGGCTGCTGAAGTGCTCGGGAGAGTCCAACTATTTCCTAAGTTAAATTCAAATCTCTCTGGTGCTGAAATTACAAGTAACTTCAGCACTTACAAATAAGTGGGTTGTTAGTTAGATGGGTCATGATTGGTTAATATTAAATACTTTACATTGGTAAAATATCTAATTTATCCAATCATAAAATGTAGTTTAGATCAGGTTCCACCCATCCGGGTTTTACAGAGTTTTTTAGAATAGTTCTTCTGCAATTCGAAGGATGGATGATGGACGTTGGTTTTTGGCGAACATCATGATTTTCTTCCGTTTCTTCTTTGTTAAAGAAGTTCCAGGAAGCTGGAGTTATAAGACGTTGTGTCTTCTAGTGACAACGACTAAGTCTTCGCAACAAACTCAAATCTGATTTCAGAATGGTTGGCTATGTCAGGTTTTTCTGTTCTGCGTGGAGAACTTCTTTTGTGTCTGATCTAGTTTGGGAATGGCGTGGAGATTGTGCGTGGAGGGGATGCCTGGTTACTCGGATCTGTACGTATACTTGAACATCGAGGTGGTCATTGGTCTAGTTCAATGAAGTCCTTTTCTGCGAAGTCAAGTCGTACTCTAAATCCTTTGAGTTGTGATTGTGAGTGGCATATCGATTGTGGTTGGCCATTCTCTCTCGAGTGTAGTGGGGTCGTTTTGTCTTTAGATGTTCGTCCTTGGTGTTATATTCTGATCTATGTATTGCATAATGTAATTTACATTTTATAAAACATTTATTAGTTTAATATTTTTTAATTATGATTTTAGTTAGTTGTTTTCACAAAAGCTTTTTGTTTTAGTTTGGTTATTTTGAAGAGTTACTCACCCTTGAGTAGCTCTTATTAAAAATAGAGGTGTGGTCACAAAGCTTGGATGTAGCGCGGTGGGTTAGGCCGGCTATAGAGCATGCTCAGGACGTCCTTCCTGGTGGGTTAGGCCAGGAGTGGGAGTATGATTTCATGCGGTTTTTGTGAGGGGTCCTGTTATGTGACAACGTTTTTTGTTGGGTTTGTTGTGGTTTTTCTTATGTCTTGTTGGTTATGTCCTTTTTCCAAAAAGCAAATTGTTCGTGGTATGGGTTTGTCTTTCGACTTTTTTGTGTTTTATTATTTCTTTCTTAGACTTTATAATAGTCTTCAAAAGAATAAATTATTCAGTTTTAAACTGGGTTAATCCGGTTTGGGTACCGTTGGTTTCCTTTTCTTAGTCATGCTGTTATTCTATGATTTGTGGTATTTAGTAAGCTGCGTTGGTTAGTTTTGTTTAGTATATGATTCCTTTCCAACCGGGTTAAAGGAAAGTTTGAAACATGTTATTATATGTTAGAGTTGTTGAGTGTGAAAACTTGAAACTGAAATTCATTATTTTAAACAATTCTTCGTGGGCGAGCTGTGCGAGTGTGGATAGAATTTCTGTGCGAATGAATGAAAATATCAAAAGGTTAGTACTGCATTTGCATTTTATTAATTTACTGCATAGAATTTGGAAATTTACTGCTAGTTATGGGGGAATTTTAAGTTACAAATTTTCATCATAATTAGATTTACTGCTTGTGGGGAAAATTTTAGAAATGAATTTTCTGCATTGGTATTAAATTTATAAATTTGTAAGTGTAAGAGATTAATAGAATTTTTGAAATCTGTTTGATGAAATTTGCGATTTTTATTTGTCTTTTGTGGTTTTTGTAGGTGATTGTCGGATGAAGGCTAAAAATCTAAAGAAAACATGGATAAAGTATGGTGAGTTTTTTAATATTTTAATTAGTTAGTAATATTCATTTAATTCATACTTACCTGTTAGTCGTCGGGGAAAAAACCGTGGGGGAAGATGTCGTGGATGAGATCGGAAGTTGTTAGTAGTTTAGCTAAGATGCGGATGATATTTTTAGTCTGAAGCAGTGGCCAAAGCAATTGAAGTGCCTTGATAGTGGTTATTTCTTCAGTGCCAACTGCAAACTCATAAGGTGTGTTTTGGATTAGATTATATAATTTGTGATTGAATTTAGTGTTGTGGATGAATTCTAAAATTGGGATTTCTATAGGTTGTACAAACTCGTGCGGGATAAGGAAGGGTCGGGATTCTTCGGCGTTGAAGGTCTTGGTGATGGGACAGAAGATGTACATTTGGGTTATGGGATCATAATTGCGAAGAA